CAACACCACAGCATATTTGGGGAAAAATACTCTAGGTGCAGAAAATCAGCACGCAGCCTGAGACATCCTCACATCTAGGCGCGAACGGGCGAGTGTCGTACCTCCTGGCGGCTCCCCCTTGGGGCGCCCAAGTGCCACGCCTGCTTCACCGCAGTGAGCAGTGGACCATCAGAAACATCTGAGTGAGCCTGAGTGAGGCAGAGTGTGTCAGAGTGAGAGAATCTGAATGTGTATGAGCGGGTCTGCGTCTGAGGCGAATGCCCTGAATGGATCTCAAATGTGTCTGAGCCTGGGTGAGTACGAGTGAGGAAATGATGTGGCTGAGTCTACGTGCGGGACAGGAAATCCTTGATGGACCCGGAGACGGGTGGGTCTGTGATGGACCCCGTGTTGGGTGTGAGTGATCTGAGTATGAGTATCTGTGCGATATGAGATTGAAGAAGAAGAAGAAAGAGAGAAGTAGGAGGAGGAAGATCTTGAGGCTTCTGATGAATACCAGAACTCCATCTCAGTATAATGGGAAGAAACCCAAAAAGACACCCCAAAGGCCCCCCAAGATGCTCCCGACCAGCCCCAAGAGGCCCCAAGAAACCCCCAAGGGCAACCAAACAAGCTCCGAGCAAGCATCCCAGAAACCAACACCACCAAGAATTATTGGAATTCAAATGCGCACTGGGTCCAGGACTCTTCGGCTGAATCTCGCCTCGGCAAAAGCTCCAGAGAAGAACCCGTCGCGCCAAATACGGCTCCGAGACCTGCACACAAAGCCATCAGCCCCAAAGAGGGCCCCGATCCCACGGAGAGGCTTGACAAAAAGCCCCCGAGGCACCCCCCAAAAACTTCCAATCACCCCCTCAAAGCAGCGGCCTGCAGTCTGGTGTGACGCATGATCCTTCTGGAAACTGTCTCCGCCCAGAACCACTCCAAGGCCATCCCAGAATATCCCAGGAAACGCCACAAAAAAGGAAATCCGGCCCTGCGACCCATAAGAGCCTACAAGAGAGACTCCAAGTGCTCGAAGAAAGGCCCGGACAACCACCACATGTTCAGAACTCGGCGGGGTTATCAAGATTGTTTGGCTGTTCGGCTTACAGGTTCAACATGGCCTGTAAGAAAACCTCAGAGAGCTCCAAAAGCGCCCATGAGGGCCGCAATAACCACTAAGAACGGCACAAAACGGCCCCCCAGAATGCTACCTATACTTTTCAAGACGGCTCAAAAGAGGGCCCAAACATGTCCCCAAACGACCTCCAAGACGCCATCCAAGAGAACCCAGGAGAGCTCAACAGGCCGCCAACAACTTTCTGTCCACGAGCCACGCACCATGGCCGCATGTGCCGCAAACCATTAGAGACCCCCAAGAAGGTAATCCCGATCCGTGACAATGCTTCTGAAAACCACATTCTGACCACCCCCCCTTTCCGTGCTGCTCCTCCTCCTCCTCCTCCTCCTCCTCCTCCTCCTCCTCCTCCTGCGTCTTGGTATCCCTTTCTTTTTCCAAATCATCCACATCGGCCTCATTCCCCAGACAGCGCCACCAGCACTTGAGGAGTTCTCATTCCTCGTCCCAGGAACTGGGCCTGCGGGCCGCTCTGGCCGCCATGTGGCCGCCGTCGCCGCCTCGTCGCCGCCTCGTCGCCTGGGTCTACAGGCCGCTCTTGGCCGCCGTGAGGCCCTCGTCGCCGCCTGTCGCCTGGGCCTGCGGGCCGCTGTGGCCGCGATGCGGCCGCCGTCGCCGCCTCCTTTCCGCCTGTCGCCGGGGCCCGCGGGCCGCCCTGGTCGCCACGTGGTTGCCGTGGCCGCCCCGTCGCCGCCCGCCGCTTCGTCGCCGCCCCCATTTGCATTACGTCGCAGTGCTTCCCATCGCTTGGCATTGATGTCCATTGCGTTGCATTGCTCGGCACCTCTTCGCATTTCATTGCACTGCATTGCTCTGTACTGCTTCAGATTGCTTTGCATTGCGTTGTGTTGCGTTGCCGTGCGCTGCTTTGCATCAGTACGAGCTGCTTTGCATTGTTCTGCATTGCTGTGCGTTGCTGTGCGCTGCTTTGCGTTGCGTTGATTTGCATCGGTGTGCATTGGTATGCATTGCTTTGCATTGCTGTGCGTTGTTTTGAAACGCGTTGCTTTACATTGATGTACATTGCTTTGCATTGCGTCGCATTGCATTGCTTGGCGTTGCACCACATTGATTGCACCAATGCATTGCGCAACCTAGATTGCACCACACTGATTGCATCAACTAGACTGCGCCGCATATTTTGCAAGACATTACTGTTTGGGGTCCACTCTGGCTACCCATGTTTTGTGGCACGGCAACTACGGTACCACAAGTTCTATGGCCCGTCGATGGGGTTCCAACTCGAAATCATCAACACAAGTTTGCCCGACGCCGCGGCCTGTTGCAGGTCCCAGGGGGGGTGCACAGACGCTGAGACCAGGCATTGTATCTACTGCGCAATGGCAAGTCATTATATGCTTCTGCCGTCGCTGCCATGGCGGAAACAATGCCCAGTCATCTGAGGCACCGGAACGAAGATTTTGACAATGCCAATTACACGCTTGAATTCGAAGAATACGCTTCCAAGTGGCACGGTAATTCGGAAACAAGCCAAACTACACGCCATGAATCACTGTGGTAACCTCTCACGATCGTGTTCAAGGCAACTCGCAGCCCGGTGTTACGATACCTGGAGAAAATGACGAAGGAGAGGACGCGCGTCCAGGCTTCGGTCACGGCTTCTGAAAGATGAGGTGGGGACAACGAGGAGGCGAATGGGTAGGGGGGTGGATAACAATGTGAGGAGCATGAACATGCTGACAAACAGCTACAATGATAATACACCCTACTGTGCGCGACATGGCCAGCAACCGCGGGATCACACTGACAGAAATGAGCGCAGGAAATGACTGTTTTAACGTAGCGCCACCGCACTTCGATACAGGCACTTCGAACACAAGCCGTGCTTCAATGCATGTGCCTTAGGCCCGCCCCACGGGCTGATTAAGGTCGGGATGCTCCCACCTACGGTCCCTCCATCCTTCGCTCATCCTTCCTCATCAGTATTCTCCTACTCCTCCTCAAACTCACTCCTCGTCTTAATACCCCTTCTTTGCTTTAAATATGTCGGGAACGTCCTGTACGTAGACACAGCGCGATGGAGGAGACCGCGTTCAATCTGTAGCAAGGTCAAAGCATGGGGACGCCCATCGGTGTGCGAGCAAATCCAACCAACCCTCTGGACGTGAATACTTTAGCGATCTTCCTCATCCATCTCCCGTCTTCCACTTCGGGGAGGCGCTTATCACTATTCCCTGTTAACAGACACCCCCTCCCCCCCCCACTCGACTGGCAATCAACCCAGACCCAGGAGAGCACCCACGCGCCTCCACCCACCCCGATCAAAAACTATACAAAATACAACTTGCCTCCAAATTTAGATCATGCGCGGGCGCCCCGCGACAAGCTGGCATGGTTTTGACATGGACGGCGGGAGTGCCGGCATATGTCTTCTGGCGCACAGGCCAACACCCCATCCCTTGCATAGAACAATGCAGTCTGCAAGTTGCACCAAAGTCTGGATCATGCGCGGACACCCCGCGATTACTGCGCATTGGTTTCTTTCAGTGACACTTGGGGGGGGCGGCATATTGCCTGCTGTGTGCAATGCCAACACCCCTACCCATCCCTCGCAGAAAACAATACAGACTGCACTTTGCACCAACATCTGGTTCATGCGCCGACGCCTGGCGCTCACATTGCATTGGGTTTTGTCAGGGATGACGGGGGTGCCAGCATATTGCCTGCTGTGTGCATGCCCTCCATCCCTCTCTGCAGACAAAAACTAACTCATGTTGCTAGGGACGGCGGGGGGAGGCGGCATAGTGCCTGCTCTCTGCAGACCCACCACCCCTGTCGTGGGCGATCGTGGGCGCACACCCGCACACAACAAACCCGCCGTAATTTTGCCCTGGTGTTTGATCAAGACTGTGGAAAGGGTCGACATGTTGCCCAATGTTGCGCACCTGGTGCGCGCGGCCCAGCTGCCATGTGCGGCGCACCTCGCGGGCTTCGCGCACCTGGCTGGCGTCTGCAGTGGTTCTCGATGGTTGTCGATGGCGGCTCCTGTCCATGCTGAGACTCGGGTGCTAATTATGTGCTGGGAGGGCGGTTGGGAATAAGTGACACGGCGTGTTGCCTGTGAGGAGCTGGACCCCCCCTCGCCCCTCCCCTCTCCGCTGGTCCTGGACGGGACGCCCCGCGACCCAGCATCGAAAAAGGCATCGGCTAGAAGGTACTACGTATTCATTGTACGTAAGTTCTGGTTCGAATATGGCTTCTTGGGGGGGCAAAGCTTATTAAAGACCCCCCTTTGTTCAATCGAACTCCTCCAAGATGGTCACAAGATGGCCCCCAATGACCCCAGGAGTCCCAAGAGTGCCGAAAAGGCACAAAGGAGGCCCCAAGAGGTCCACAAGCGGTCTTCAAGAGGCCCCCAAGAGACCCCCAAGAGGCTCGCTCAAGGCACCTAGTGCGCTCCGAAAGGCCCCCAGGACCGGCTCGAGGTCGCAAGACGCCCCAAGAGGGCTCCAAGAACCTCTCACGAGGCTCCCGAAGAGACTCCGAGAGGAAACAAAGAGTCCTTTGGCCGTTCTGCTCGCCCTCCTCCTCATCCTCCATATCCGCCTATTCCTCCTCCTCCCTCCTCCCTCGTCCCCTCTCCTCCTCCCCTTCCTCCTCCGACTACTCCTCCATCCTCCCATCCTTTCCATCTTGAGGTATGACGGCTTTCACGGCCCTCCTTCCACTGCATGCTCGTCCACATCCATGATCGCCACTCGCCTGGGCATCGCTTCTGGATGGACTGGTGGGTTACGCGAAGCGTCTAAAACAGATATGCAACAACAGAAGAAATATAACACATACAGACCTTGGAATGCAATGCTGATACGCGCAACGACATCGAACATACACAACATGCACCCCTCCCTTCCCCAGCCTCAAGACTGCGAACGATGTCTTGCCCTTGACGCGCACCGTGGCCAGCCGTGCACGAAGCCATATCTGTTCGCCAATCGGTGGTCCCTGTGGCAACCCGCTGCTCTTCCAAGCATCGCTCAATCGATCAAGGCTGCGATGCATGAATGTATGAAGACCGTCGAGGAGGAGCTGAACATGAGGGGGAGGAGGAGAAGGAGGAAGAGGAGGAGGAGGAGGAGGAGGAGAAGGAGGAGGAGAAAGTGGAGGAGGAGGAGGAGGAGGAGAAGGAGGAGGAGGAGGAAGTGGAGGAGGAGGAGGAAGAGGAGGAGGAAGAGGAGGAGGAGGAGGAAGAGGAGGAGGAGAAGGAGGAGGAGGAAGTGGAGGAGGAGGAGGAAGAGGAGGAGGAGGAGGAGGAGGAGGAGGAGGAGGAGGAGACAGTCCGCGAGGCGCATGCATGATACAGAAGGAGCGGCGTGCCGCACCCCGCCATTGCGGATGAGAGGGGGCAGGCGCGGAGAGCGGGACGCGGGCGGGCCGCGGGCGGGCCGCGGGCGGGTCGATGGGGTGCCTCGCGGGTGTGCCCCCCGTGGGATCTCGGGCGGGCCGCGGGTGGGTCTGGGGCTGACTACCTACCAGACCACCCCAACCCAACCCGAAAACCCGAACTTCGGGTTGGGGGGGGTAAGGGTTCCACATGTGTTTTTTCGACGTTTCCCGACCCCCCCCCACTGGAAATGGAGGGCAAATTGAGGCCTTCGGGTTGGGTTGGGGTGGTTTGGTGGGTGGGTCTGGGGCGGGCCGCGGGTGGGTCGCCAGCGGGTCGCGGGTGGGTCGCGGGTGGGTCGCGGGTGGGTCGCGGGTGGGTCGAGAGGTGGGTCGCGGGCCGGGTCGCGGGCCGGGTCGCGCGTGGGACGACGAGAACAAGAACAACCATTTTGAGATTCTTCGTTCTTGTTGCCCTGCGTCTCATTAAACATGAATGCCCCAAACCCTGGGTACCCGCCCTCTTCGTCTTCAATCACACCCTCCTTGGGGGCATATCTTCATTATCTGCCGAGTGTAGTTGGCGCAACCTTTCAAACAAGGGAATGAGAGGAGGAGGGAAGCGACAAGGGGAGGGAGAAGGATGGAGCAAGAGAGAGATTTGCAGCAGGGGTCTTAGGCGCAGGAGTACAAGCGGCAAAACTTGACGGGTGGGTCGGGCGGGCGGACCCTAACGGACAGGCCGGGCGGGCGGGCCCAGATGTCCGGGGCGAGCGGGCGGGTTGCTGAAGCGTCGATCCAATATGAATCGCAAGGGCGTTTCGAGCGATGGCAGGATTCCCAAGTGAATCGTCAGGAAATCCAAGGCGAGAGCGTGATTCCTGTGTTGGGGGCACGGCGCCGCAACAAATTGCGGGAAAGTGCCACGCGAGAACAAGATTCCTACATATATTTTGAGGAAGTCCCCCGCGAGCCGTTGCTGTAGTTCGGGAGCAGTTGTTGAAGTTCGGGGGGCAGGGGCCCAATCTGAGGAGGAATCATTTCCCATGTGAAAAATGGGTATGGGCCCCGGAAGGAGCACTTCAATTGGAACACGCAAGGTGCACCCAGCAGGGGGATCAATAATAACTATCATTCAGAAACCATAATTCAAAAACACTCACAACAACACAAACAACAACCACAACAACAACAGCAACAACAAAAACAGCAGCAGCAACAACAACAACATTAACAACAACAACAACAACAACAACAACAACAACAACAACAACAACAACAACAACAACAACAACAACAACAACAATCACTTTACCCGAACGCTCAGTGTTCTCACCAGTGCCAGGGTTTTCATGCGACGCCAGCCAATACCCCCACTTTGTGGGGGGGCAGTGCAAGCTCTACCAAATATCCACACGACTCTTCGCCACCACCCACACCCAGCTTCCCGCCCTATGACGTTCGGACACTTCACTTCGTGGCCTGCGGACGACCGTGGCTACTACACTGGCGTGGAGTACACACCCACAGAAGTTGTTAAGCCTACGTTCGTACACCCACAGAAGTTGTTAAGCCTACGTTCGTAACCCTCGGCGGCCGAGGGCGCAACCTATGGCGCAACCAATAGGGGGACGTTTTATTCTCGGCGGCCGAGGGCGCAACCTATGGCGCAACCGCAAGGGATTGTGGCCCCTGGCAGGCGCGCGAACCCCGTTGCAAGAGCGTGCGAAAGTAGCTCGCGCGAGCTCATGTAACATAAATGTTGGAAAACCATTGGTTTTTTTAGGATTCGGACAGCGCGCGCGGGTAGAAATTTTGAAAAGTCGTGCAGGTGTTTTTCGAGGACCTACGGTGCGATTCGTGTGATTTTATGATGCGCGGTGCTAAAATTCTTAAGAAGCCCAATGGTTTTTGGAGATTTCGGCGTGCGCGCGCGAAGAAAAAACGAATGTGTCCCGCATGGTATTATTTGACAGGGATGATGGCCCTGGCAGGTGCGCAACCGTTGTCGCAGAAGTTCGAAAAAGTTGCTCGCAAAAGCCCGTTTGACAGAAATGTTTAAAAAGTGTTGGTTTTCCTACGAATCCGCAAGAGCGCGCGGGATGAGATTTTGACATTTTTTGTTGAAAAACCATTGGTTTTTTGATGTTTTTATGTTAAAATCGCTCCGAACACTAAGCTTTTGGAAGGATTTCGTCTTGCGCGCGCGAATGTCCACTTTACCTTATTTTTTGCAAGGGATTCTTGAAATTTGATTATATTAGAACAAGAAATGTCATTTTATAGTGTTTTTTGCAAGGGAAAACGGATTACAACAAAACAACCGGATCTTGATGACATCGTATTACCTGAGGCTTCCTCACGAAAATGATGAAAATGTAGCTGCGGCCTAGGCGGCGCAGGGGGGCCGTGCACCAGGGGTCCCAACAATAATTATTCTTTAGAATTAATAATGTTCAACAACAACACCAACACCACCAACAACAACAACAACAACAACAGCAACAATCATTTTACCCTCATGCGCGGTGTTTCCACACGAAGCATGCGACCATCATGAAAACAATCCACATCATGGGGGAGTTTTGTTCTATAGCGGGGTCTGTTATTCCCAGTCCCAGATCTCCCGCCCAATGAGGTCTTGCGAACACCTCCTCCGAGGAATTTGAACATGTCCCGCCTCGAAAACACATGCCCGCGCCTTGCTGCGCAGATGCGAGACCGCCAGTGGAACCCCAGCGAATGGTAAAGCACAGGGAAGTATCGAACGACAATATTGCCTTGGTGGGGGTGGGGGCTGCCGGCGGTGAGGCAAGGACCTGACCCTGAATAGAAAGGGAGGACGTCTCGAGCAGGGCTGCTGTTGTTGCTGGGAGCGGCGCCAATACTGAAGAGAGTAGGGCGCTAGTCCAGCGTAAAACAAAACGAAGTCTCGAGCGGGAACGCTGGTGTTGTTGGGACGGCGGCTTTCGGCGGCGAGGAGGAACACCGCCTTCAATAAGAAAGGAATCCATATCGAACGGGAGCCGTGGTTTTGTCGGGACGGGGGCTGTTGGCGGCGAGGAACAGCACCGTCTTCAGGAAAAAGGGAGGAAGCCTCGAGCGGGAGCGTTGTTCTTGCTGGGAACGGCGCCAATTCAAAAGAAAATTGGGCGCCAGTCCAGCGTAAAACGGAAGGAAGTCTCGAGCGGGAACGCTGGTTTTGTCGGGGCGGTGGTTTTCGGCGGCGAGGAGGAACACCGCCTTGAGTAAGAAGGGAGGACGCATCGAGCGGGAGCTGTGGTTTTGTCGGGACGGGGGTTGTCGGCGGCGAGGAACAGCACCGTCTTCAGGAAAAAGGGAGGAAGCCTCGAGCGGGAGCGTTGTTCTTGCTGGGAACGGCGCCAATTCAAAAGAAAATTGGGCGCCAGTCCAGCGTAAAACGGAAGGACGTCTCGGGCGAGAGCGCTGGTTTTGTCGGGGCGGCGGTTTTCGGCGGCGAGGAGGAACACCGCCTCGAGTAAAAAAGGGAGGACGCCTCGAGCGGGAGCGTTGTTTTTGATGGGGGCGGCGCCGATGAGAGAAAGACTAGCGCGCCAGTCCATGGTAAAACGGGAGGAAGGCTCGAGCGGGAGCGCTGTTTTTTTTAGGACGGCGGCTTTCGGCTGCGAGCAAGAACACCAGCCCTGAGCAAAAAACGAGGAAGTCTCGAGCGGGAGCGTTGTTGTTGTTGGGGGGCCGGTTTGGGCGGTCCCCCAAACCGCTCGAGCGTGAGCCTCATGTTCAATGAAATGTAGCCGGCGCCTCGGCGAGAGCGCCAGGGCGCCTATAAGGGGTCCAACAATAATAATTGTTTAGTAATAAAGATTCAACCACACCACCAGCAACAATAACAACAACGACGACAACAACAACAACAGCAACAACAACAACAACAACACCAACAACAACAACAACAACAACAACAACAACAACAACAACAACACCAACACCAACACCAACACCAACAACAACAACAACAACAACAACAACAACAACAACAACCACAACAACACCAACCACACCAACAACAACAACAACAACACCAACACCAACACCAACACCAACACCAACAACAACAACAACAACAACAATCACTTTACCCGAACGCTCAGTGTTCTCACCAGTGCCAGGGTTTTCATGCGACGCCAGCCAATACCCCCACTTTGTGGGGGGGCAGTGCAAGCTCTACCAAATATCCACACGACTCTTCGCCACCACCCACACCCAGCTTCCCGCCCTATGACGTTCGGACACTTCACTTCGTGGCCTGCGGACGACCGTGGCTACTACACTGGCGTGGAGTACGCACCCACAGAAGTTGTTAAGCCTACGTTCGTACACCCACAGAAGTTGTTAAGCCTTGTTAACCCACAGAAGTTGTTAAGCCTTCCACAGAACATCTGCCCCTGGCAGGCGCGCGAACCCCGTTGCAAGAGCGTGCGAAAGTAGCTCGCGCGAGCTCATGTAACATAAATGTTGGAAAACCATTGGTTTTTTTAGGATTCGGACAGCGCGCGCGGGTGGAAATTTTGAAAAGTCGTGCAGGTGTTTTTCGAGGACCTACGGTGCGATTCGTGTGATTTTATGATGCGCGGTGCTAA